TCAAGAAAAACTGTCAAATACCCTACAATATGAGAGAAAAACATGATTGAGAACTCTTGTTTGCCTCCTTTCAGTCCCGGCATTGTTTTCAGTTGCTCTGAGACGTAAGATCTTTGAAGCGTTATTTTTTTCTAAAACAGTTTTGTTTAATCACAGTTGAACCCTTGATTAAGGCAATACTGAACATTTTCAATTTCTTTTTTACCAAAGTATCACCTTTCCGGAAATGCCCATATTTTAGAGTATTTGACAGTTTTTCTCGAACCGATTGTTACCATCGATTTACAGCCTCTACACGTCGTTCCCTTTCCGGAGATACCCATATTGTAGGGCATTTGACAGTTTTTCTTGAACTGATGGCCGCCATCTTGGATTCCGAAATTGCGTCTGGCATCGATTTCCAGCCTCTACATGTCATCTTCTTTCTGAATATGCCCATATTGTAGGGTATTTGACAGTTTTTCTTGATCCGATGGCCGCCATATTGGATTCTAAAATGTAGCCTGGAATCGATTTCCGGCCTCTACACGTCGTCCCCTTTTCGAAAATACCTATATTGTTGGGTATTTGACAGTTTTTCTTGAACCCATGGCCACCATCTTGGATTCCAAAATTGCGTCTGGCATCGATTTCCAACCTCTACACGTCATCCTCTTTCCGAAAATACCCATATTGTAGGATGTTTTACAGTTTTCTAGAATCTGAGAGCCGCCATATTGTATTACAAAATGATTATCTTTTGCATGAGCCCTGTTCCCTTTGTTTGGCTGCTAAATTCCACTTCTCCACTTCAGTATTCCTCAATTGGCCTTAGTTCCGCAGTATTGGCTGAACTCATCTCCTTGGGCTTGGGAACCAGTGTGACGCCATTTTCACTGTACCACTGTTTGGTGGAATTTGAGTAGTGGTAGCTAGCCAAGCCCGGTCAGAATAGGCAATCCACCTCATGCTGCTCCAGAGAAGACAGTAGTCTCCTCCGTAGGCACTCCTCCTGGTAAATTTGCTGGTTCATGGTCGCAGAAGTAACGATTGTTTCGCTTTTCGGGCCACAACTGCAGATTGGTTGCCAGACAAGGAACTTTTTGAGGAAATTGCACTTCTATTGGATTTTACATTCTTCCGGTTATCCGAGGTATAAAATTCCTACCCAGGAATTTGATCGAAAACTGTCTGGAGCGGAGGAACGGGATTTTCGTTTCGAGCGTGAAGGATCGAATCGTGACGTGCTTGTTCCGGTGAAGCCATGATGTAAACAAATGAAAATCGATGCCTACTGTGATTCAGTGAAATTTCGGAAAATTTAACTCAAAAAATGCCTTAATGGCAGCGTTTTTAATGAGACCGGATTTTTTAGTGTACAACCTTTATAAGGTTCATGTGATTTTGAGGTGCAATTTCCAAATATGAGATCACATTAAAGTTACGTTAAATTCAAATGGATTTTATTACGTTGGTTATGTGATGTATTTTATGAGTTTATAAGATCATAGTACCTTGCCCTAACCACATCTGATAAAAGCTGTAAGAATGTTCGATAGAATAATTAATTGGACTAAAGCATCGCTCTTTTCAAATAACGATGTTGTTTATCTCAGTAGAAATCTCTTAAAAGTTTAAAGTCAATTAAAAATGTTATGTGCAATGCAGTTTTTGAATGATGGAATGCCGAGATTATTCTGACGCAAAAAATGTGACCTTCTGCAAATTTGTAGCTGAGAAAGTTTCCTGACTAAATAAACTTCAAACAGGGTGGCAAGTGAACCAGGAAAACCAGGAAAAGCGGGAAAAAGTCGGGAATTAATTTTCACCAGGAAAAACCGGAAAAAAAACCAAGAATTTCATAAGTCCACCAGGAAAATAATCTTGTTTGTATAATTTAAATAGGTTTTAAATGTTATGTATGTCAAAGTTTCTTTTTATAATCAGGTCAAAACTAACCATTTTGTTCAAGCTAAATCTTTCACACAACTAAACATTGATAAACAAAATTTACCCTGAGAGTTTAGTAAATATATTTTGTATTTAATTTTAATTTAATTTTTTTTCTCGAATCAATTGCATGTATGATTTGTGCTTAATTGATAGCAGACTTAAGCAGTGCCGACGCGTAACTACTTTGAAGTACCTGTTCAACATGTTCAATAAAAAAGTTCTATTTCTAATAACTTCAGATAAGGCCTTCGAAAATCCTGTGAACTACTGTGATGACCTACGACGGTCGAGAAATCTCAACGAACCTTCAGAGAAGTTCTACAAATTTCAAAGAAGTTTTACGAACTTTGAGGAATAACTACGAATTTTACAGAATTTTCTACAGATTTAATGTAACTTCTTCGATTTTCAGGCATTGCTTGAAACTTAAGGAAATCCTATGACACTTATGGATTTTTTTTCCGGGCTTCAGAGAAGTCTTCAATACTCTTGGGAAGTCCTCTGAACTTAACATAGTTCTTCAAGCTCAAAAAAGTTCCTAGAACTTCCGAGAAGTCGATTGAACTACAGGTAGTCCAACGAAATTCATGGGAGCCCTCCAAACTTCAGGGAATTTCCTAGAAATTAAGGAAAGACCCATAAACTTTTGGAAAATCCTTCGATATTCAAAGCCTTATGAACTTCAGGGAAGCTCTTCTAAATTTAGGGTCCTCATATATTCAGTTAAGTCCTTCAAACTTCAGGGAAGTCCTCAGATCTTCGAGAAAGTTCTTCGAGCTTGAAGGAAGTCTTACGAACTTCAGAGAATTTATACGAACTTCGTGGTACTTCTACGATATTTAAGAAATTCCCATGAATTAAAAAAAAAAACTCCGAACTTCAGGGAAGTCCTAAGATCTTAAAAAAAGTCCTTTGAACTTCGGGGAAGTCCCATGAAATTCAGGCAATACAAACTTCAATGAACCCTTCAGGAAAGACTCTAACGCTTCAGGGAAGTTCTACGAACTTTAGGGACTTTCTATGAACTTTAGCAGTCAGTCTTTTTAATAATAAGAGTTATCAAACCAGCGTTGTTTATGAAATCTTTTAATCCTATGATTTTGAAATCATGTTGTAATCAAAATTCCGCTAAATCGTTGACAATTTGCGGAAAATTTAAACAAATCCGTAAAATTGTTAAAAGCAAAGGTTTGTTTAAGGAGTCCTCATTCATATCACACTTCGCAATTTCACCGTTGGCTAAAAATCTCAATAATAAAGTAAAAAAAAAAAATCGCTGTGTCAAAAACAGAAATCTCAAGATTTAGGGGCTTATAGATCTCTAAATTTCAGACATTAGATAGGGCTCCGCGCTAGTCCGTCGTATCTCAGCTTTTCTTCGTCATACACCCCTAAAATCGCTCATTTCAAGGGTTATCGCGAATGTTTCAGTGTCAATCGTAATTGATGAATTTACGTGACGGTCAACCAGCAGATGGAAATGATGTATAAATGATAATGACGTTTTGCTATCTGTCAAATTGTATGGAACATTTTTTAGTACAACATCACTTTTGTGGTTTTGAATTTCAAACCTAGGTGTCGCATGTACTGGTGCAGTTTCGCGTAAATTCATCAATTAATCTTTTAAGCAAATATGTTTTTGCAAAAACATGAGTGAAAACGCTTTACTATTATAGTTTTAGCACATAGAACGGAAATAGGCGCCATGATACGACGAAGTAGCGCGGCTCCCTACTAGCTTCCTTACAGCAAACAATCGAATAAAAATTTCACGGGCATTCACAAGAACCTTAATACCTATTTTGGTTTGTGAAATTCCGCATTGCGCGGAGAATTTTTTTTATTAAAAATTGTTTTTTTTAAATATATGCTTTTTAAAACCAGGAAATTTTTAAATCATTGACCAGGAAAACTAGGAAAAAACCAGGAATTTCAAAATGAAAATTCACTTGCCACCCTGCTCAAAACGCCAGTTCAGTATGAGATCATAAATAAATGATCTCACATTCACTAAACCAATAAATTTTGAACCACCCTAGTATGTAGCACCACAAAAATTCTTGTTGCACTTTCTGGGGCCATGCAACATATTCCCCCTGAATACAGGCAACCACCTGTTGCACTGATTCACCTTCACTATACCTCTGCTCAGTACGACGACATGCACGTGACTCAGTATGCATCCGTACAGCACCAACACAGTTTGATCGATGATTATCATGCGAATTGGTTAATAATTTAGTTTACTATTCCTGGGACATAGGCGGAGCTGTGATCTTGAGCAGTTTTCTAGCATTTGACAGGCGGAACTGATATTGCCCCGAAACGGTACCTCACAATGGACGTGACAAACGAGCGCAATAAAAATCGCTGGGAGGTGCAACGCCTTCTTATTGGAGTCTATCATGTAACTCAAGATCATGTTCAATATCGTAAGCTGCGTTGCTCTCATCAGTCAGCATCCCCAAGTCTGGCTCAACTCTCCAGCAAAAGTGCGAACGATCTTTGTGTGCTCACTTTATCAGCCAACAGCACCGAGACGCCCCACAGCAGAGATCGTCGGTCGGCGCGGTCAGTTTGTTTTCGCTCGTCGAGGTGTTGGCGCGCGCTCGCAGTCCTACCATTATACCATGCTAATTGTGCGCACTTGCTACCGCGGCGGATGCTGAACCCGGTCCCAAGAGGAGTGCAATTTTCTTATCAGGGAGGACGCAATTCGCCCATCTAAAGCCAAACACAAAATGTTCCTCTTCTTCGGTGTTGTTTGCGCTCAAAGTTGACAACAACGACGACGGGAGAGGGAAGATAATATCAGTGCCATTCAGAACAAGTCCGAAGTGCTGAGAAGGGGGTGGATCGGTTGGTTGTAAAAAGCTCAAGTTGCGAACTGAATTAAATTGCATTCCGTTTGATGCTCGACAGTTGCGGGAGAAAGTCACAAGGATAGTCTACCAAACAAGGGGAAAGATGATAAATGATTCGTTTGAATTTTCGTGTATGATACTGCGTTTTGCATTGTTCTTTCATCTTAATCGATCTGTGATTAACTTTTGCTTTCGTTTTAGCTGACGACGATTCCGATACCAGTCCGCACGATTTGGAGATGGGTTCCGATGTGGAATATAACAACATCAATCTCAGCTTGGCCACCCACCTGACCGGAGGAACGCACTCGTTTACACAAATGCAGGTCAGTTCTTGTTGAATAAGGTAGGAATGATTCCTTAGTTGACGGAAATTACTTAATTGGTCCTTGCAAATGAAGACAATCAAAGTGTTGCAGAGTTAGGAATAAGGGAAGTTTGAGTTTCATAGAAATTGTAATAAGCACTGTTTTTTATACAGTAGAACTCTGTTAGTTTGAATAGCTTAAATTGCAATTAAAAGGTGCTCGTTAAGAATGTGTTTAACTGGTACCGCTACATAGGTGCACAACGTCAATGGGCACCTGTTTAGGGGTACCAGTTAAACCATTTCTAAATGAGCTCCGGTTAGTTCCAGTTATAGCTACTCAAACTAACGGAGTTCTACGGTAAACACTTCAACACTTTTAGGTCATTTGTGTCTTGTTTAGCGATGAGATTTGAAGTCATCCCCGTAGTGCAAACCAGGTGGCCAATAAGAACAAGACCGACTTTCTCCGATTCGTGGTTTGTGTTTTTCCATGGGTAGCAGACTATTCAACGGAGAAAAGACCATAAAATCAGTTCTATAAAACATATGCAGGGGCTAGACAAAATGACCGGGACAGGAAAATTTTTGTTAAAATTTATAAAGCCCCTTTTCGAAAAGTAAACAAATTTTGATGTAACTTTGTGGTGGCCAGTGGCCTCTGGAGATGTTCCGGATTTTTTGGGGGTTTTGTTCTTCATCGCTTCTTTTTTTCTGGTGTGAAAATTTATTTCAATTCATATTTTTTCATGATACTAGAAGCAATTCTGAATTAAATGCTGCCTACAGATCCAAGATCTGTTCAGAAACAGCTACAAAGAAACCATCTTGAAGTTTTGTACCCATGTTTTTATGGTTTCGGTCCTGTCCCAAATTGACCCCATTCATACGGGGAACCCATAACCTGTTCTAGGATGGCCATCGCAACCTGTGATGCTGAAAACAATTCTGGAGATATCGCGCTGAAAAATCATGAGGTTTGATATTCATATTGACGTGATTCAAAAGATTAAAATTACTGGTCACTTTACCGGAACCGATTTCAAGGAAATAGCTAGATCTCGGTTGTTTCTCAACAGAATCTGTAACCAGCAATGAATTCAGAATTGATCCTAGTATCAGGAAAACATACGAATTCAAATAAATTTTCATTCCTGAAAAAAAAACACAAGCGATAAAAGAATCAGATTTTGATATGCCCAAGGTTGCAAATACTCATTTCAGCTAAAACAATGTTTTTTTTTAATAATGAAATAATTAGATTTTTTAGAATCATATTTTGAATTGGTAGAATACAAAAAGAGGTTGTAAAGAATGTGTTTGACATATTAAACCTGTTTATTTCACTTCATGAGAGTCACAATCAGCGATTTTTCAGACGCTCACTCACTCACTCAGTCACTCACTCAGCGATTGCAATTCGCTGATTGTGACTCATAGAAAGCAAAATTTACAGGTTTTATGTTTCAAATGCATACTTTGTAACCTCGTCTTGTAAGTTACAAGTAAAACATGCCATCATACCATCTTTTGGTTTTATTATTCCGAAAAACATTATTTTAGCTGAAATGAGTATTTGCAACCTTGGATATACCCCCATAAAAACCGGATGATCTCCAGTGGCCACTGGCCAACACAAACTTTCAAATGATTTATTTAAACTGCTGTAAATTTACCTAATCTAACTAATTCGGTGACATCAAAATTGGTTTATTTTTCGAAAATGTAATGCCATTGGAATTTTAACAAAATGTTGCTATTCTATTGCTAACAAAATGTTGCTAGATCTAGGTAATAGAGTCGGTCAGTTGCCGATTTTTGTAAATAAATTATAGATCTTTTTCTACGCTTTTATTATAAGCTTCCAAATGAATAATAAAGTGATAATACTCGATCATTGAAAGTATATAAAAAAAATGTTTACTCAAAATGGTATTTTTGGTAATATTAATGACATGGAAGGGGATAATAAATCGAATATTCGACTCCTTTGTACTCGGTTGAACATTTTTACCTGAAATCTGAAAGATTCTGAGGACATTGTTCAAGACTTTATTGAGCCTGTAAATCTTTCAGAATATTTTGGAGAGCATTAAATATCTTATTGAAACCATCCGAGAAGGCTTCACGAACTCAAAAAGGCTTCCAGGACAGTTTTCAATACTTAAATAAACATGTAGATCTTTAAGAACAGAACTCCAGATTGCCTTGGAGAGTATCTTATTGATATTGATCCATGACGGGTAAGTTGTCCATAGGCTGGACTCATTTGGATTTTCAGGACATTGTTGAAGCTTTATTGAGCCAATATAATTCCAAGATCGTAACTCCATAATTGTTTGGAGAGCATTGAATACCTGATTGCAACCGTTCTAAGATCTGATGATGTGTTGAGTAAGTTGGAACCGTGCGTATCACACCACATAGCACAGGAGTGGAACTTCGGATCAGAAAGTGGCTCCACTTGTCATTTACGAACACTAGCGCACCTAGCGGTAGAAGACATCTTCTGCCTGCAGTTAAGATAGGCAGCATGCTATGATAGTGTGAGTGCACATAGAAAGCTCGTGTGGAACGCTACCACACGAACCACTTTTTGATTCACCGATTTGTTTGCACTTCCCCTTCTGTTCTGTGCACGTAGAGTCAATAGGACATCAAGATCTTAACTAAGGAGTTTAAAAAGATGTTTAATGATTAATGTTAACACATACTAACACAAAATATGCCAAACAATTCAGAATGAGCAAGAAAATAGTTTTAGCCACCTCCTTGTATGGAGAATCCCTTAGTGCTTTGGCGTGATATGTATAGTGATGTATGGTATAGTATGGTACGCCGGGACCGCCCTCAAAGGTTGCGAACAAATCCTGTAGTTGCTCAGTAAGTTCTGTGAAGCAGGAGCTTACGAAAAGATCTATCTACCAGTGGCGTCGCGTCCCCATGTGCAACCTGTACTCGACACAGGTGTAAATATTTTTTTTATGCATTTAGATATTTATAGATTTTATGGTCACATTATAGCTGCACTTCTTTACTCCAGACCACAAGTAACCATGAATACACTATTTTATAGTGTGCCTCAATTAAATCTTCGACCTTGATTTACTTCAAAAAAGATTAAATTCAGTTCGAATGGTCTGCCTAATCCCTAATGCATTGATTTCTAAGCATTTCGATATCACTACCATGACAAAACTCGTTTAATAGTGCACCTAAAAGCGAGGTTTTTTGGATGGCAAGTTTGTGAATGATCAAATGCCTGAAGTAAGCCAGGCAGACTTCTATCACCGCTTGAAACATACCACAAATTTTCCACAATACATGGCGGTTTGCACAACTAGTTGTAATTGAAACTTTCAGCAGTCACGCGTCAAACGGGAGCAACACGGAAACAGCAGTATCTGATACGCTTTGGACGTGTATCATACTTGCAGACCGGTTTGAATGAGTGAGTTTAAATTAGAAGAAAATTTTAGATGTATGGGTGCCTAAAGCGTGCATTTCTCGCTGTGCACTTGGATATCTGATTGCAGGCAAAGAGAGTAATGGAGAAATAGAGCGTAAAAGCTCGCTCTCACTCTCTTGTCAGTTGTAAATCTCTCAATTACCGATGGTTGCGCCGGTGCGCCTGTCAAAACTTATGAGCTTGCCCTGGTTCATTCTGATAGTGTTGTTCTAATGAATAAAGAGTTGATTAATTCAGGTGTGCTACCCAGGGGACTTCATGAATTTTCTCTAGATTTTGACACTTTTTTGTATCAAAAAATGTTTTCGAAAGTGTTTAACGGATATTATTTATTACACTTCAGTCGAAAGTGTTAGCCTTGTCATAAAAACAAGAATTAGTTAAGTTTTGCGATTCCTCATACTTTGGTTAGCGCGAAAAGGGCCATACAAGTTTTGTTTACTCAAGATGATAGGCCTTTCAAATGTTACGTTAGGTAGTGATTAATATAGTAATTCAAGACCAACAATTGAAATAGCCTCAACTCCATTTTGTAAACAAACCTTGTAAGGCCATTTTCTCGAGAACCGAAACCTACATTCGCAATTATAAACCACAATCGGGTTTGTTCACAAAATGGAGTTGAGGCCTTTTCAATTGTTGGTCTTGAATTGAGAATACGTCCCTCGAATTAATGGAGTTTTGAAAAATAAAACAAAAACTAATGTGTGGTATTAAACAATAACGAACAAAGTTTGGTGCACAGGTAAGCAAATGAGGCACGCGTCGCCTTTGCTATCTACCCAAGAAACACACCAGTTATATAACAGATAATATAACCGTTTTATAACTGGATTTGGTTGTAAAGATGTTTACTCTCCAAAATTGCCGGAAAATGTCTCACTTGGGTAGTTACTTCACTATTAATTTGGATGCATTGAAAAAGTTCAAAAGTGAAAATATCATGAGTTGTGGAGTTAAGGCACTAGACCAGCGTACTTCCTTTCACAAGTTTTTTGATGTTTTCACTCAAGCTATACAGTTACGTTTAAGACAAACTAGTAGCAAACAATAATACGTTTTCAGAAACAAAATATTCACGGTTAAAAAATCAAAGTAATTTTGGGTACACAACGCAAGAAAATGTTTAAATCTTAGAAAATTAAACATAACCCTCTTCATTATTTCTTTGAAATATTTTTCATGAAAAAGATTATGTAGCTTAAATTCTCATCGTTTTTTAAAGTTTAAATCAAGTTGGCATATACAAATTTACAAAAATATTAGACTCAGCTTTTGAACATTTTTTTAAAACTTTTTGTTTAATTTTTTTTTTGTTCAATTATAAAACGAAAACCAAAATCGATTCTGAGCAAATCCCGTGCCTTCCGCTAAGTTGACGTATCTAGGGACCAACCCCCAGGTCTATGCAGATACCGTCCTTCCCGTTGCAACTAGTCAGCTTGGGCGAATGTCAATCAATCCAGCAGGCCACTTTTCACAAAAGTTTTTAACATTATGTGTTTCGAAATGTACCAACAGCGTACCATAGCGTACCTTCAAGGATTTTG